TCCGCGGGGAGATTCTGAAGTTCCTACAGATAACGTGGAACTACTGTGAAGTGAAGATCGATAAAGTAGGTGCTATCTTTATGCAGAGAACAAGACAAGTGAAGTCGAACAAAGGCATATGGATACGAGTGGCACTACGTGAACCAAATTCAGCAGGACGGCCTAGTGGAGATTGATTTTGTTCGCTCGGAGACAACGTGAGCGACATTGGAACAAGAATGTCAACGTCGAGAGCCTCGACAGACATGCACGAAACTAACAGGAGACAAGGAGCAATTGGTTTGAGTTGGTAAGAAGGTCGCTGCCATCATCGCGAAACAGGAAGGGTGTTAGAAAGTATTTTCGTATGAAGGAAAGACGACTCGGGATCCACAATACGGTTCGTGATTGGGGAGTGTGACTCAAATCAGATGGTTATCCGATCATCATCAGATGGCCAGGTGTACGAGGAAGCGAGGACAATGGTCGTCTAGATGATGCAACTACAAAGGTTAGGAAGTTAGGTCGAAGAGATGAATGCAAGGAGCGACGGGATGGAGCAAATGAATGGACGGATGAAGGTCCATAGGTTTAGTAAAGTGGGAAAGCCCTCCAGGGGCAACCATGCACTTCAGGAAAGATAGATCGACGAGATCTATCTGAGATGAAACTGCGAGAAGCAGAGGATCGAAAGATCCTGGTATGTATGCATATCGGAGTCAGTTGTAGAGCTCACATCTGAACGAGAGAGAAAGAGAAAAACGAAACGAATAGCCAGTCTACTAGACAGTAGAGCTGGAAGGATATTGATTAAATTAGAGAAATTGTGCGTTCAAGTTCACACCTTTTCAACAGACAAGTTTAGAAGAGTAGTTACCAGGGTTATAGTTAAGTTTTACTCTGCATTTTTGTATAAAAAGTATTATTTACCGCAACTACCTGAACTCCAAAGTTGTCTTCCAGGAACCGTTCGATGGCCGCTTTTTGCAGTCAAGTCGCTGGCTTCTCGCCCGAATAGTGCCGTGACTGGTCGTACAGTGTACATACTACTAGAAGTACCGGACCAGTATCGGAGGTAATGCTTGCGGTCTGAAACGCAGGGCAGGCACCCAAGGCGCAGATACCACTACATGTACGTATCATACAACACCCACAACACCCAACACTGGTACCAAACCGTACTCGAGTGGTACATGTATCTAGAGCTACGTACATGTAGTTAGAGTTGGTTGGTTAACTTGCCACCGGTTTTGGTAATAAGGTTGGATAACATGGGAATGCCGAAACAGAGCTCGTTAGAGTGACCATCATCTAGTGAAATCAGGTCGGCAACCGGAAGTAGACTAATACACCCAATGACGAAGCAAGATGCCGCTTCAACGCTGCAAATGCTGTACTATTGGTTCTTTGAGCTTACGAACTTTCTTTCCTTGGTTTCAATAGCTGTTTCAATAATATTATGTTTCAATTGAAAGAATGTCTGCCTGGAAACTGGAAACTCTGGAAAGAATGCTAATAACAGCTCTGATAACGGAGCTGCTACGTACCGGTATGTAGACATTGTAGTCGGAGGAGGCACCAAAATCCAAAAGGCAACACGCACGGCAACAGTCCCAGCTGCCCATAGCCGCACCACCAAAAGCAATTATTGACCTGAAACCTTGGAACCGTGAGGTACGAGCCGTGGTGTGTGCACACGACGACGTGGTGCCTAGCTATTTTTAATAGTAAAAACAGGCCAATAGTAAGAGGGGATAAAGGAACTGACACCGACAGCTGGAGCAAGTGCTTTTCGATCCACACGGCAGGAAGCTTTCCGTAAATGATGCACACCATTTATAACTTCGTTTCTCCGAACTAAGTGCTCGAGAAGGTAACTTTTAAATAGATACTGGCTTCGTTTGTCCGTCTTTGCTGTCGTCATTCAAACCCTTTCTAGCTAGTAGCCCAACAACTTCAATCAGAAGATGGATGATCAGCTATCACTAGATCTATGATCAATCGATCGAAAGTTCTACCGAGGAAGCCTGAAACTACTTTGAAACGTTTGCTTCCGCAGCTCTCTATCAGATTCTTAGAAACCGTATGCCACTGGTTCCAGGGGGCTCCAGGAAACCACCCAAATCTCACAAAAAACACCATCTCACGGCAACAAACATGAAACAGTAATGCACACAAATTGCTCCTTCGCAAATCTCCATCTTTCAAGCAACGACAAACATGAGCAAGAACGAGCCGGGATTCCTGCGAAACCTCTCTTTGGACGTTGTTGAGGGCGGCTTGCCACTTCGGGCCATAATGGTGCCTCGAGAGGTCGACCCCATTGTTGGAATGATTATAGAGATTCGGAGCGGCAAGAGAAGCGATCACAGCACGGCAACCAACACATGTTGTGTGGATATTCCGTTGAGTCTATCAGCCAGCGGTCGGCATGTACGAGAAAGGAGTTCCTCCATAGGCACAGAAGAGATGCGAGGACAGGGCAGCGACCAAGAATGCGAGAGAATTCATCCCCTTCCTCGAAGTGCTTCCCTCGTGTCCCTTCCAGCGAAAGTCATCTGTCTCGCAGGCAGCTTTGACCGCTTTGGTACATTCCCGTCCAACAAGGAAAAGACGGACAAGATCATGTTGGCCCCGATCAAGTCGTTGGATTGCAATCCACAAGAGATTCCGTCTGAGATCTCTGTTCTGCCCCCCTTGACCCGCATGATACCGGTGCTAGTGAACACAAGCTAGGGGAGGTCGTTCTTGAAGCATCTCTCGTGCTGGGCGCATCGCATAATGAACTCTCTTTGAAGCACAAAAGCACACTTCTGTTGAAGCTTTTGTATTCTGGGGTTTGTCAGTGAAACAACTTCCCAGTAACGAGATTCTGTTTATTAACTATATATAATACATGCTACAGTACCCAAGAATGGACATGGTAGATGCTGCTGTGGGTTGTTGCTATATGTACATACATGTACAGTACATGTAGCAAGAAGCTCGTCAAGAGCCAGATTGCTGCTTGATGCCTCCGGTTGAAAACTTTAGTTTTCGCAGTTGGGGTTCGTAAACAGCTTTGATAGCTTAAAACTGGAATCCTGTAGCACGGTCACCCCACCACCTCATCAATCTTCGACCTTGAAGAAACAACTGATCAACATGAGGCAACCTTTCGTTAAAATCATCGTTGCTGCGATTACTGTTTCCTTCGTTCCAGTGGCTCATTCAGGATGAGGAGGGGGGGACGTGAGTAGGATGTATTTTGTTGGCTTGGAACATGCTTTGTCGTTATATATTGGATCTATGTTCATTTGAATGATTCCATTCAATCACACTTTTTCTTGTTGTTCTCCCACAGACACCGGCTCTTCCCAACGACGAAGGCCTTCCTCCGGGAAGTTATCTAAAGTCGTGTACGGGGTGTCGGTTTTTAGATGATAAGACGTTTCACTGCATGCAGTGCCCCAAGGGATGTGGTAAGAAGCTGGCCACTCAGATCGTGGCTATTGACGCCTGTGCTGCGTTTGGAAACGACAATGGAGTGTTGGTTTGCGACGATGGGTCTGGCGTTGATGAAGATAGTGGGGGGCTCTTATTAAATGATGATGATATACCGTCTGGTTCCTATCAAGAAAGTTGTCGAGGTTGCAAAATGTTGGAAGAATCGGATGGCAGCGAGGACACGAGAATAAAATTCTTGAGTTGTTCGGCTTGCAAAAGTTGGAATGGTGCTTTCCTCGCTTCCACAATTCGCAACTTTGATCGCTGCAGTGATATTGACAATCAAAATGGAGAACTTGTTTGCAAAGACGACCAAATTCCTCCTGGTGCCTACCGCGAGAGTTGCAGCCTTTGCGAATTGACGGTCGAGGATCCCAAAACGTTGTCATGTCAATGCCGCGACTCGAGCGGTGGAAGACAACTTGCTGTTCTCTCTCCGCCGGATGGCGAATGGAATTTTGACTCCTGTCACAACATTGACAATCATGATGGAAATTTGGTTTGTCAGCGGCAGGACGATGATACAAATGACGGTGCTTCGCGTACTAGCCGGGATGAACTGTAGGCGATAATGGAACACACTGTTGTCACCATGAAGTCCATGCTCTCTCAGGCTGAATGACGGAGGATCCTCAGGGAGAAAAGACGTATTGGTTGTAACTCCCTGGGTCCGCCTGATGAAATCAATGCTTGAGAGAGGCTATGGCTGATTGGTTCTCTGGTTACAGGTACGGTACTAGAAGTACGTAGGTTTACCTGGGTAGGCAGCAGAGGAAAGCTACAGTCCTTGTATTATCGGACGCCATTCCACTACTCATAACGAGCTAGTTTAGCGAGCTAGCTAGCTAGAGGTCGTGATCAATTGGTACTCTAGTACCTGCCATCTTTCGCTGCAAGTAGCTACAAGGAGCCACCAAATTGAAGACTTCGGTGGTACTGTGATGGCGGTACACTGTACTCGCCCCAGATTGCATGTCCTTTTCAAAGAGGCGGCCAACAGCCAAAGAGGATCTTTACTGCCAGCATCAGGCAGCTCATCAGGCCAAAATAGTGATGGGCACCCCTTTGATACACCCATTGATACATACGTATAATACACGTATAATACGTGGTCCCCAACTTCAATACATACGTATTATACGTATTTAACTACTACTGCTTAGCTATCCAGTTACCCTCCCTACATGTACTAGGCCCACTAGACTTGGCTACAGATGCTGCATCATCCTCATCAAGGCCTAGATCTACCAAGAATGGTCTAAATCAGCAGTAAGAGCTCCGCAAAAGCTGCCATTGACTGATCCCCAGATGGTTCAAGAGACTTTAGAAGCCTCAAGTTGACATAGCAATAGAGCAGCATCTTCACAATCTTGTTGACGAGACTATTTCGAACCATAGAATACACCACATAATTTTGTATGGGAAGACAGACAGACCAAAGGTTAATACAGTATAATACAGTATAATACGTATTATACGTATCAAAACTTAAAATACGTGTATTTGCCCATCACTAGGCCAAAATACATCCCTGATACCGGTACTAATACCACCGACAACAGCCACCGTCATCACTGCCATCTGCCATGTGCTTTCATACTGGTACGGTACGTCATGTACGTATGTACGTATCATCTGGGCATATCTTGTGGGCATGTAGCATGTTGGCATACTGGCACACTGGCACCAGTATTGCACAATACGGTACCGGTGCCACTGTGCCACCGAACTGGATTTATTTGGTTTTTAAGGTACTTATGTCTCCAATGTCTCTCGTCCTCCGTTATTGTTGACGCTTGACGCGACAACTATTTTAATACTCTACTAATATTGGTAAATAAAAACTTGAAGCAGTATGGTACTGTAGACTGTAGAGTACGCTGTAAGGCTGTACATGTACAAGGTACCGGTGTATTCGAGCATCACTCGCGGGTGGCAGTAGCCAAATAGAGCTCGCCTTATTGGAGACAAAAGGACTTTCGTGGAAGAGCATCAGCCTCATAGTCTATCAAAAATGAGATGCTTCCTTTTCTGAAACATGAGACCCTTTCTGATGAATGCGTTGTTCCTCTTTATACAACTGTGGATTCAAATCAGTCACCAGTGAATTATTGTTAATTATTAAGAATGGTTCCACCTTAGAACAGGATTTAACAAACACACATAGCAGCATCTAAGAAATCTTCGCGTTCAAGTCCTGTCATAATTACCAACTCTGCGATTCCAACCATTCTAGAGTGCTGCTAAGTAGTAAGTGCTCTACCAGTAGCTAGCAACGCATACGGCATACCGTAGGAGTTCGGTAGGTTTGTATGTGCGAATTGCGAATACTTCATGGCTATTTTTGTGTTGGCCAGCGTCCGAGCTGCTCATCAGCTGTAGATTGCTACACCATTTTGCGTGATCCCCTTCATTCGGTCTGCGGCAAACCTGGCTACAACACGTCCGGAACCGCGACTTCCATTGTCACTCCTCCAAATAATGAAAGCTCCATTCTAGCTAGGACAATGGGCCGAAGACTGTTGATCGACTACTCCAAGAACACGGCGCCGCTCAAGTCGGCCAGTGCGAATGGCGACAAAGTTGTGGGCATGAGCCTGCGCTATCACGAGCCGGAGATACTATCGTGGTTAGGACGGCATGAACGTGAACCAAGCACCCTGAAACGTCCCAAGACAAGGACCTTTCCGTCGGCTGTCTTTCCAGTGCAACAGAGCAGTCTGTTGGACCTCTCGGCGACCTCTTCATTACAAGGGAGTTCTCCTACGAATGATGACAGTCATGGAAGCGGCAGTATTCGAAGAAAGCAAGATTCCTCTCCTCCACGCTCTCCTCCGCGCCTGCTTCATCAACGCAGCACTCGATCGCTCTCTCCGAAAGCACCCCGACGCGACAACATATTCAACAACCAAGTGACATTTCAAATGCCCAAGACACTGCGCGGAGGAGGAGGTGGAGGAGGCAGTCGTTACAATGATAGACTGCACTACAGTGATTCCGACTTGATGTTGGACACTCGATCAGTTCACACCACCAACACCGCCGCAATCAACCACAAAGGAAGATCCGTGTTTGATGACGCTTCCATCAACTCCGCTCCGGCCAAACCCACCGATCCCCAAAAGAGCTACCGCGCCTTGATGATGTTGGACAATTCCAACTCCGCCTCCACCATTCGAAGCAGTGTTCGTAGTAGCATTCGAGGCAGCATTCGAGAAGAACCCGAATTGGAACATGTGCCAGAATTTGGAGGAGAAGACGAGGAAGAAGAAGAGGAGGAAGGACGCTCCTTTCTGCCAACTGCCCTCAGCGCATCCCCTAGAGGAGGAGGAAGGTCTCCCACGCGCAGCAGCAAAAAGAAAAAGGGCAAAAAGAAAAAACAGCAAATCTCGTTGGACGATTGGTTTGGAAAAAGCAAATCTCCCAAACGCAAGAGTGACAGCAAAAGCACACGCAGCAAGAAGAAACAACCACAACAACACGAAGACGACGAATTGTCTCAAATGAGTCAATCCTATCCCATGGGTCCACGGGCACGACGCATGTTGCCCAAACGAACCATGTCCTTTGACGACAGTACACGGAAATTCGAACGACGTGGCAAACGTGACAGCGAGGATGATGCTCGCAGCATGGTCAGTGCGGCTACGGGAAACACCCGGCGGGGTGGACGTCGTCCCAACCGCACCAAGACCGACGCCGACAATCGCAAGTCGCCTCGTCGTGGCACGCTCACTCGGACACGATCCTGCGATGGCAGCACCACCAGTTTCATTTCGATGAAGGGCGACTGCTCCTTTAGCTTCTTGTCCGGGTCCAGGATACGCGTGCGACAGACCGGGGCTCGGGCCAGTTCGGATCGAGACTTGTTGTCGGAAAAACGAGTGCAAAAGGCACGAGACGATGCATCGGGTTGTTCCAGCCAATTCAGTCGATCCAACACGACGCCGGTACAGAATAATAATCACAGACGACGAGCCCTGAAACGGGCCAATTCGTGTGACAGTATCACGAAACGATTGACCAAGGCTATTGAATAGTCATTCAGTCGTAAGGTTTGGATCCTCACGTGTACTTTGTATTGGAGGCGCTCTCTATGGCAGTACGGATGTGTTGGTTATAAAGGCACTATTTTGAAAACAGTTATATCTTAGACACAAATTGCTATCTTTAAAGAGAGCCCCTCTTGCTCGTCAATGTGATGCCTGATTTCAATGCCGGACCTGAGAACTGCAGTAGACGCGGACATCGACCATTGGGTTTCTCGCAGATATCAAAATCACCCCATCCGCAATCTAGCTAGCAATACCTGGTATCCATTGACAGACCGCGGTCGTGCAGTCTCACTAAAGCTACGGTACTGGTAGCTCTAGACAAGCCCATTCATCTGCCTATGAAACCTTACCATGCACTACATGTATTTCCTTGTCTAACCGGGTTTTAATAATTAGGTTCATGTATCGTTGCATGGCAACATTCGTATTCACTGCCGCACCAGTGCACTGTTGCAGTCATCTCTTTAATTGCTACTACGCCCTGCTTCTCGATGTGCAGTTCCCTATACGGTGGACTTGGGAACGGGAGCAACCTCAACATCAGCATTCTCCTTGCCAGCTGCATCCATTGCTTTTTGGACAATAACATCGCCGTCGGTCTCACCCTTGGCAAATGAGGCCCCAGACTTGTGCAGTTCTCGGACGGACAGCGTCGCCAGAGATGGAGGACCTTTCTTCACTACTAGGCCGAACTTCTTCTCAAGAGCGCTGGTGTCCATGACTTCCTTCATGCGTTCCGACTCCTTTTGCTGCCATGCAAGTCGCAAGTTGTTCTCTTGATACTGAGTAAAATCGTCACAGATCACAGTGCCATCAACCAGCTCGACCGTGGATTGCTTCGTATTCAAAATCACTCTAGGAAACACGAACTCGTCAGGTTGATCTTCAAAATGTCTTGCCGTCAGCTTTGCAATGGACTCGTATTCACCATTCTTTTGCATGTTTTCACCAAACAAAGCCGTGTCACGTGCTTCGTCGCAGGCTTCGGCTCTGCTAATGGCATGGCGAAGCTCGCCAAGGGTTCGTTGGCTCTTGGCTTGAGCGAGATTGGCCGCATGGGCCCACCACAAAATGCTGCCCTCCTCTGCATCCGGCAACTCATTCTCAGCAGCAATGCGGTAGTGAATCGCTATCAAGGCAAAGGGGTCACATGCTTCCCCTTCCTCTTCCCCGATCAAGCCATGATGAGTCACAACAAGGACAAAATCCTCGTGACAGGCAGTGCGGCAACGCAGGTCGTTGAGCAGGGCGGCAATGTTCGAATGCGCCATTGCCATTGGCTTGCGTCGCCAGGTGACATCTTGCAGAACATCTTGGTAATCACTGGGGGTTGGATCGTCTTCGACTATGTTGGCCAGCCTGGAGAGCTCCATACAAAGATCAATCGCGAGGGAGATTGGATAGGGTCCATTGACAGCATCTCCACGCAAGCCCGTCAACAAGTCCAGTTCGGCCATGATCATACCCACCCTCAAGGATGGTTTGAAACTTGTCCCATAAGTGCCATAGGATCCATTTTCCGTCACCTTGTACTCTTCGTCCAATAGGGTGATGAATTCTCGTGACCATTTGAGATGATTATAGGCAGCAGCAATCTGCTGTCCCATACTTCGGATAACTGTGGCAAAGAGGATGGATCCACGAAACATGGCACTCACATAACTTCTGAGGCCACCTTCAGACCAGCTTCGTCCCGCCTTTACTTGCTCCCGGACGTAAGCTTGAATCTCTTCGGGGGTACAGTTCTGCGATTTTTCGCTAATGTCGATCGGTGGAGGGGCTTGCAAATTATGGTAGAATGTGACGTGAGCCTGTACGACACCTGGAGCACATTTCATATCCGATCCAAAATCGTTGTCCGTTTGTTGAAGTGCCATAATACACTTTTGGACACATCCCAATTGAGCCAGGATCTGGTACGCAAGGAAGCGTTGGAGACTTGCAGGTGCGGGACAAATACGGCCTGGAGCAGTCTCAATAAAGACATTTCTTCCTCCCAAATGAGCATAGGCACTGATCAAAGAGTCGGTTGCATTACCTGCAGGCAATCCTCCCAAAAGTCGCTCGGCATGATTGATCTCTTGTAAGGTGATGATGCCAGAATTGACTTTGAGCCTTGTGATCTGGGCGTACTGTAGCGTTTGATGAGACAAGCTGGATGCCAAGTCGGCAATAGCACATTTCATTCCTGTGAGCCACCTGCAGATCCCGTGGAAAAGGTACTGTTCTGATGTTGGACCTTTCATTTGGTACAATGTGTTGGCTGTGCCATAGCGTTGTTCCATGTCATACAAAGTTCCATGTGGTCCAACCTCCTCCATCCATGCTTGTACTCGCGTGAACGCCTTCATTGTTGGCAAATCCATGGCTGTCATGGGTTGCTCAATCATCTCCTGAACCGGCATTGGGGATTTTCCGTCCTCTACAAGCTTTAATCGGTTCTTGATATCATTTACGTGCTGACGAAAAACTGCATTTTTCTTGTCCAACTTGACCGCTTCAGAGTAATACGTGTGAGCCCAATGAAAGTCTTTGAGGAGCTCCGCTGCCACTCCTCTGCGCCACCATCCTTTGGCCCATTTGGGGTCGATCTCGGTAGCCCGTTGTGCAGCTTCTTTGGCTTCTTCGTACCTTCCTAGTTTGTGGAGGACAGCCACAGTGTTGGACAAGGTATTCGCCTGGGGAAAATACTCGGCAGATTGCTTGTAGAGCTCCAAGGCCCGCTCAAAATCTTCCGTTTTGTAGGCATCATTGCCCTGAAGACGCAGATCTTCTGCCTTGGATTTGTCCTCCTGTGTCGGCGACTCCTTCGTCTTCGAAGCCATGGTCCAGTATCTAGTGTCAATTCAAAGTATACGGTAGTAAGGGTGTACTTCTTCTTTTGAAGAAGAAGTGAACAGAGTGACGAGTCTCCTACTCGAGTAGCTACCAGCAGCTGACTGGTCGAAGATCTCCAACAAGAATGAAGCAAGCTGACTTGCCACGGACTTGCTTGTCTACCGTACTAGTATGGTATCTTCCATCGGCACGTCATTGAACAAAAATGAAGGGGCCTCCCCCATCCGGTACCGGTACCGGTACCGGTAGCCTCAACCTTACCTCGTAAAGAAATACCAGTAGCGTTAATCCGCAGTTAACCTCGCGGAACATTTCCTCTCATTTCAGTCCTGCCTTTGAAAAGTACGGTACATGTTCGTGACTACACCGGTGCGCGTCCGATTTTACGGTAACTACGCCATCAGCGATATCAAGCGACACAAAGTTTGGGTATCTAAGGCTGGCTCTGTCATGCTCCCCGCCCATGCATTCTGCGATGGGATGGGATCATTTGAGATGGAGGGCGATCCACCCGAACAGTGGTTGCTCTGTGGTGCTACCGTTAACGTTGGGAGAGGAAAGACAGATTGATTTGACTTGTTACGATTGCTGTGGTTGGGTGGAAGGAGCTTTGCAGTCGATATCATACCGGTACCACCGAGTAGTACCATATCGTTCGAGTGTGCCATGAGAGCAGGAGGCCGGAAGAATCTGCATCACCCCCAACATGCCCTCAACCAAAGTGAAACCACCACGAGCAGTGGGGTGGCGGTCCATGGAAAGACGGGCGGTATGGCTCTGAGCGCCTTGTCGTTGATACAGCGAGGCAATGAGTATTTCTTTTCCGATTGCTACTTGGAAGCCACGGGGTACTACTACCAAGCTGCCATGCTGTTGAAATCGTTCAAAGGGCACAAGCCCGAACGATCGAAAGCTTGGTCGAATGTGGCAGAGTGTCATTTACGACTTCAGAATTGGCAAGCAGCAGAGGATGCATCCACCAACGCCTTAGTGGCGGATCCCTCCAACACAAAGGCGCTATATCGTCGAGCCAAGGCTCGCTTTGAGTTGGCTGACTACGTAGGGGCTGCCAAAGATGCTGATGCTGTAGGAACACAAGAATCACACGATGTGGCTGCTTTGTGTCGAGAATTGGCGCTTGCCCAGACACATGGTAATGGTAGTCCGCAACCAGCAGCCAGAGGGGGTCATCAACAACAACATCATCAGAGCCATCGCCCAAGAAGGGAATCGTCCAAAGAACGAACAGTGCTCACCTTGGAAGAACGCGAGCTTTGGTTCCGACGCATCATTGACAGCTATCGCCTCCGAGTCGACGACGAATACACACAAACAGGAGCTTCCGATGCCGGGTGCTTGTATGGAATTCGAGCAAAGGGAGGGATTCAGTCGCCACTAAATCACTTTCAGTCATATGTTCAGCGAGCTGTCAAGAAACGAGTGCTCCCTGTCTGGTTTACGCTTGGTGATATGGGCGATTTGTGTCGCATGGCAACAACTGACAGTTTTTCCAACATCAACATTGCAGTCGTCCCAGAAGAAATTGTTCAATTCTATGATGAGCAAGCGGAAGGTTCTGGTCACGACGAGGTACAAGAATTGCGCAATCTTGCCGTTTATATTGAAGGGCCCATTGGTATGCCTTGGGCTGACAGTAGCGCCAGTAGTCACCACCACAACACCAAAAGCAAGAACAACTTGCCTACCGAGAAAAAGCCACGCAGGAAAAAGAGTCTCCCAAGAGTCATCCCTGAGCCTGGTTCTGGTGGTAAGGGCGAATCCTTTGATAATTTGTATGACTTGGGCAGGGCACTGCCGTCCTATGGTGTTAGACAAAGTGGCCATGCAAAGTCTCATCGCCATGCCGATACCAACAGATTTGGGATTGACCAACCGTTGACACCCCAGCGAAGTCCTGTGCAGAACCGCCACTACGTTACCGGCAACAAGGGGGGAAGCCGATACCAGAAGCTTCAGAGAAGTACTAGCGATACGAGGGTACCACGTGGGACGCCCAGCACGCCGAAAGCCAATAAAAGGCACATGCATGTCAGTAGTAAGGGCGTCGTGGGCGTCTATCATCAAAGTCCGTATCAACAACGCGAACCGAAGCGAGGTCGAAGCATCGAGCGCCATATCCGCCACCCCACACCGCAGCGAGGCCGCTCCTTCTCTCCACTCCGTGATAGGAGAGACCCGTTACGAGTAATGGCGCCATCTTCACCTGCATGGGGATATCAGCAGCAAATGCATCATCCAGTTGGCGCTCCACCCTACATAGTCCCATCCAAGAACAAGCGGTCTCCATCACCAATGCCGATCAGCGATGACAGCGAGTCCACCCCGTCAGATTCGTTTTCGCCTCAGCTTTACTACCAGATGTCGATGCCGTCAAACTTGAGGCGCTCATCGAGCGAATTGCGTCGCCATCAAAGCAAGTTCCATGGGGGGAAACAAGAGCTTTTTGGGGGATTCTACAGCCATGAAGACTCCAGTACTGCCCAGGAAGTGAGGCACGGCTTTCTACGAAACAACAGTAACCGGGACGAGTTCAGCGAGCTGACAGACCTTTCATCATCGTAGGAAGAAGGCGGAGCTGCTCTTGTTGTGGGGATGGCTGTGTGGCTTTGCTTCGCTATTAGAGTCATAGTGAATACTCACAGATGTGGGTACCGTTGTACATGTAGAAGATAGCATTTTAAAAGTTGGCTGAAATTCCAACTCTACAGGCCGATGTTGATCGAGGCCAGCAGAACTATTGATAAAGAAACAACCCAAGACCCAACTGATGAATGCGACGACCAAGCTTCCGACGAGGCGTCTGTTGTATCTCCCGCAAATGATTCCCTGGTTACAGCGGGGCACTCTGATACTTTTACCGGGACGCCAGCAGCGAACCGACAGAATGTCTCCCTACCATCAGGTCGATTCTGCATTCCAGGATATTGGTCGCCATTCACGATGTTTTGGCAGGATTCATCGTAGTCCCCATGATAGCAAGTCCCAGTTTCTTCATCACAGTAGCTCTCTACAGCCCAACCAGGCATATTGCACCCATTGTATTGGCAACCGAGCGTACATTCGCTCGTGTGGGGTACATTGGATCTCCAATCTGTACAGACTTCCCAAGGCTCATCATCCTCATGCAAACCAACCATGTGACCTCGGGGGAAGGTTCCTCCTTCGATGGCTGTCAGTTGTGCTTGTACATCGCTTGTTCTGGCCTTCATTGTAGGCAAGAGTGGAAAGCGCCCTGTATTCCATTCAGCTGCATCGGGTGACAACTCCTCCTCGAAGTATGCTCCATATGTGCCAAAAACGTCCCCCGCGGCAAAGACGCGAATATAGTTCACATGCGATGTCATTTGCTCAACCAAGCTTGAGCTGCCATACACATTGTTCACAAAGTCCTTGACATAGCCGAGATACTGCTTGTGCAGGTCTGGCTCTGAAAGGAGAGGGCCTACCAGAGGATTCTCCTCCAGAGACCGGCAGGTAGGTCGGGTGATGCTCCAGTGTACCAGGCGTTCGTTACAGACTTCGACCGGGCAATGCACTGGGTACGGATAGTTGAAGTCTAACCAAAGATAGTGAAAGAATGAGCCAGCACCACTGAAGAATCGAATCCTTGTTGAAACTCTTTCTGTAAATTCACGTACCATAAGCTTGCAACTTCCAGCCTTTACCATCTCCTGTCTGAACCAAGTAGTAGTTGTGTCCAGGACCAAGAGGAGAATCCTGACCAAGTGTAACCGCATAGAATGCTATTGTCTTGAGGAAGGACGCTACGTCGACGTCCTCCTGCAAATGAGAATTTGTGCACCCAGGATTACAGGAATCGTTGGCCCGGTCTAAATGCTCCCGCAGAAAATCTTCCATGGTATCATCCAAGTCTGAAGAACCGAATTTTCGGTCGACCAAGCCCTCCTCCATACGCATCTTAGCGCAATCTCTATTGTATCGCAACCACGCGAGGACGACGTCTTCCCTGTCTAGGACTTCAACGTCGCGAATATAGTTGTCATGACATCCGCCAACTGCTCCGGCAATTCCCAAAACATCTATAGGCCTGCGATGATCTCCACGCTCAAAAGCATAAGGGGGTGTGGCGGCTTCGTCCAGCCTCGTAGCGGCATTGGCGATGTCCTTTTCAGAGTATTGCCCACAGGCAGCTCCCAGGTTAGTGAATTTGTAAATGGCTGCGGGATTGTGCTCAGGCGCATAGCTGTCAAAGTTCCTGGCGAACACGTATTCCTGCTCAGGAGCTTCCAACAACGTGTAGAAGCCATAGAGTTCTTCGTTGATGTATAGTCGAACGTGCCGTGCTCTCAAGTGAGGCAGTCCAAAGCGGGCGAGCATGCGATGATAGGACCAATCTCTGATGTAGGAGTTGTCCGCCAGATGGTGCCTTAGGAAAAAACGCTCAATTCCGAAGAGAGTTTGATTTGCGTCTTTTCGGTCCATGTCAACCTGGAAGGGCATGGTCCGAACGCCCAAACATTGCGAGGCATACAGAGTAGATTGCCCTTTGGGGCGAATCCTACCGGGGCTATTGAACGTAGCGATTTCCTCGCCTTCAATCGTTAGCAATTTGGCTCTTTGGAACGGGCGGTAAAGCTCTTCATAAGCCTTCTCGGTGATGTATGCAACGTCTTCCTCAAGCATATCCAGATAGAGATCCAAGACCCCCGGCATTCCGTTAAGAACAGGGAGGCCCTGGTCGTCCATGTTGAAGAATGCAGTTCCCAATGCATTTTGTTTTGCAAGTCGAGCGCGGATTGTTTGGGCTCGTTCTTCTGTTGTTGGAACATCCGTCATGACATTGCTAGCACCAGGCGTAGGTGTGGATGTGTAGGCATACTCATGGCTCACTGGATCTAGAGCGTACGTCAGATCAAAGGCATCTGTTTCAAGATCGTCGGGCAACGGCCCGACCGACGAAACAATTTGATACGAAACGCTTCGTGTGACAGCCTGTTCAGAGGTAGTACTGTTGGTCACTTTGAGCAATGTAATCGTATCACCTTTGCCAATTCCAAACTGAGGCGTTGTAGGATCCGGCACTTGAGCTAAGTCAGCGTCGCGACTTTTGAGCTTGGTACAAAGAAGCAGATAAGAGTGCGGTTGGAGCTGGGTGCTGACCGGAAAATGAAAAGCGCCCGAATCATGCGCGCCTTTATCATCATGCAGAATGTATCCATTGGACAGATCAATAGCTTCGGTTGAGTTGTTGTACAGCTCGACCCAATCATGCCCCGAACATACGTTGGAGGTACCAGCACGGGCAATCTCGTTGACAATGATGGAGGCATAAGAGCAAAAGCCACCCAGATAGGTGGATAAAAGTACGAGTGATGTATGGAAGCGCATACTAGTATTTCTTTGAGATCTCTGCTTTTTTAATGAGAAAGAAGTGAAGAGCTTCAAGCAGCTGCCTGCTGCAATCACAGAGGTACTGTACTAGTACCTGGTACGGGTACGTTCCGTCCGGTACTGTAGAAGATACGGTAGCACGGAACACAGTTTTTGACACAGTGTGCTCGCGAAAAATCCAGAACAATTTTCGCCCGATTCCCACCTCACCCACCGTTGGTTTAGTCACAGATTGAAGCCTCCCGGCCAAACTTGGCTTGTGGAACCGTTGCCTACCCGAAGGTTGATTTTATCAAATGCACAAGTACCAGGACCTATCCTTCCCCAGTTTGTTTTTGGCTAGGGTAGATTACTTACACGGCTACGGATACCCACCGCAGACCAGGAAAACCCAAACCTGGGCGGTTTTGCCTCCGCTTTTTCATGGGTCCGCATTGAGAATGGAAACAATAGTACCGTCTCTCTGCACAGAGACCTCACATGTACCGGTAAATGAAGCTTCACAGGATAGCTATGTCATAGCGAATATGCGACGCGAAGGCGACCTGCCCCACGCCAGCATCGTTTACTTCAAGCCATCGCATCCAAGCTCTAGCTAGTGGAAGCCCCCTTATCGTTCCGTTGGTGATTACTAATATCTTGATTATCCTAAGAGTATGGGTACAGAGGCCGCAGTTAGCACTGTTTAGTCTGACTGGCCTCACGACAAAGCTAAAGTATACGAATGCGCAGCTGTTGTTGAAAGCCTGACTCTGCATATATGGCACGGCCCTAGTCTAGTCATGCAGAGTCCGGACGACGATGAACTTCATGTCCAAGTTATCGTCGACACACTCGTAATCGTCTTCCTCCGTCTTTCGTTTCATGAATTCTTCTGCTACCTCCTCGGCCATGACGTATTCCCAGAAAGATTTGTGGTACTTCTTTTTGAACCGAGCCAGGACTGATTCTCGAGAATTGTATTCTTCCTTGGTCTGTTCCTCGGGTTTTGCCAGACCGCGACGGAGACCTCCATCGCGAAGCTCATTGTCTTCATCAGAAGGACTGAGGCGGCGGCGACGATCGCATCTACCTTCAGCGCAAGCACAAACACAGTAGTAACCTTTTTGGACTTCAGAACACACAATGTCACAAAAGTCATCATTCTTCAAGCGTCGACTTTCGTCTTCATCTTTTTTGAAGTCTGAAAAGGCATCGCCACCTTGTTCTCCTGCCCAAGGAAGTCCCTTCCTCTGCACTTCATGCAAGGATTCCCTCACATCCTGTGTAAATTGGTGTTCGGGATACACCATTGTAGAACCCTCCGGAGGGTGAGGAGGTCCCGCGAGTAGTTCTGTCTGCAGTCCAATTTCGACGGCCTTATTCAAATGCTGTTGGAGTTTGGAACCCTCAGCCATTAATTCTTCATCATTGCATGCATCCACTTCGGTCTGCTTGACCATTACAGCCACGGCTAATCCTCCAGACTGATCATCGGTATCGCCACCTCCCCACCAGGAAGCGGACGTACAACCAATAGAACACGACCACAACAACAGTAATAGAGATTGTTTCACCATCATCTTGCCAACTCAACTGCCAGGGTAATTGTGTACATCCCAGCTGCTTTAGCTGAGTGTTCCGCTATCTTGGATCCGTATCAAGATGGGGTCATTAGTTGCTCAGTTCATCCCGGAGGTTGTCGATCTCGAGGAATCTACGGTACTGTACCCTCCGGTTGTCACTTGGTTCATCCGGTTTTAGCCGCGGGAGTCACTCGACTCTCCTCGAGTGAGTCGAGTCACTCAAATAGCTAGCTACAGCGTAAGTTTAGCTTTAACCCTGAGCATTTACAAAGTAACGGACCCGTTTTCGTCCGTTGAAGAATCGCTGATGGCAATTCAAACCGAATTCTGTCGCCCGAGCGCTCACATTTTGTTCAAAATTCAAAAACCACCCTTTGGTTGTGAACTATTTTATTAATAGACTATCAGCCGGATGGTACTAGCTAGCTGGCTAGTGGTACCGTAGTGCCGGAGCACCTTCTCACTTTCTTTTGCTCACATCCGGCTCCGGAATCGAATCGCCCACGCTTTGCAGCTACCCCCAGAGAATCAACCTTTAGAAGTAACTGTCATTAATTGGACTAATTGGACGAAGGAATCTTCTGTATTCATCATGAGGCTTTCATTCTGCGCGACGGCTCTGCTGAGCTTGTCTATGGCATCCTTGTCCGAAGCAGCGGTGTGGATCAACGAAATCTCCGATAAGGGTACCAGCAATGCTTGCCAGGGCAACGATTGGATCGAGCTATTCAATAGTGGTCCTGAGGATGTGGACTTATCGGAGGGGTATATCATCCATGATGACAAGGGCCTCAATAGCGAGAACGCATTTGCGTTTAAACCCGGCATGGTTATCGAAGCTAATGGGTACTATCTGCTCTGTACCAAGTTGAAAGCTGGAAGTGGAAATGATCAAGTCGGGTTCACGGTAAATGAACTCTCATCCCCACAATTTGGTATCAGCGGAGAGGATACCATCACGCTGGTCCACCAAAAGGATAACCAAGACAGCGTTGCTCTTCAGAGTCGTACCATTTTGGAGATTGTATCGAGTGTTACCCTACCAAACACGGATGACGACTTTGATGTCACCTACGCGTACAACGAGGACAGTGGGCAATACGCCTACACGTCAACACCCACACCCGGAGCCGCCAATGAGTTTACACGCATCAAGTCAGCCGAAGAAAAGATGGCCGAGCATCGCGCGATGTTGGTGGGCCAGAACGCCTTGGGGGTGCGGTTCTTTGGCATGGACAATCGTGGCTACAAGGTCGACGACGCCTTGGATCCAGTTTTGGAGCTTCATATCTCCATGGATCAAGGTGAATTGGATTACTTGATGGAAAACAAAACTCATGAACTTTATCGATCTTTTACCAATGGAAGCGTGACTACTACTGAGGGGGAACTACTCGCTACGCTTGACAAACCAGGAAAGATCCGAACCAAGGGTCAGTCAACTCTCTTCATGGGCATCTGCCTGGGAACAAAGTCGGTTCCATTTCAGATTGATTTTTCATCAGAGGATGAGTCACAGTCCTTGTTTGGAGTTAACAAGGTCTACTTGAGGCATCACATGGGTGACTTCTCGTACTCTCGCGATTATGCCTACTACAGGATGCTGGCTCGATTCGGTCTCCCACATTTGCGAGTGCGAAAGGTGGAGTTCTTCATCAATGGTGAGAAGCAAGGCTACTACAGTCTCATCGAGGCTGCAGATCAGGAGTACGTCTTTGCCAGGAACTTCCCGAAGTACAATCCAGAGAGCTTTGCATTGTACAAGATAAAAAGCATGGCATTCGAATGTGGTTATTTCCCCGAGGAGGCGATAAAAGGTGCCGCAGCCAGGTTGGGCGAAGAAAGCACACCTCCATACTCCTTTCAGCGTGGTACTCACAAGCATGATGTGCCCGTGCTGGGATCGATTCCTCAATGTCTGCACAAATTCGTAGACACTATCTGGGACGTTGACCTCGAAGACACCATTCTCGCATACTTGCGGTATGACGAAGATTGCGCCGATATGCTCATCGGAGAGGGATTGATTGATCGTGACTTGGGAACCAAGGACTGGGATAAGCAAATGAAAAAGTTCATTACCAATAACTTCAGAGGCGACCACAAGTGCGATGAGGAGTGCGCTAACAATGACTTTGCTCAAAATGCGGATGTTGACAACCTTTTGAAGACATTTGCCTTTTATGCTGTATCGGTCATTGCCGACTCACCTTTGATCAACGGGAACAACTTTTACCTTGCTCAAGCCGGAGATGAAGCGAATGGTGGTCCTGGAGGCTGGAAGATCGTGCCATACGATTTTAATGCCGCGAGAGTTGTATTTTGCAATGACAACGTCTGCAACCCAAGATTGGTGCACTGGTCGATTGCTCGTCCTACATGTGAATCACTTGAAAACAATCCGATTGCTGGGCCAATTCTCTCGGACCCTGTTCTTTTCAATAGATACATTGACTACGTCCGAGAGTTTACGAACACTGTCTATGCAAATGAAACCTTTATTGCCGAGCTGGAGGAACATCAAGCAGCCCAGGAAAAGTTTGTCAGGAAGGATTTTTGGAGTGTGTTTGGGGCTTTCTACAGTTTGGAAAAGACCACGGAGTCTGCCAATTGGGAAGAGGAAGAAGATCGATACCCATTGCTGCCAACTATGAAGGCCAGAGCAGAAGACGTTCGTGCACAGCTAGCGGCCATCGATGCTGGCATGTTCCCTCGAGGACCTCATGGTGTTGGAGTAAATGGAGATTATGAAGCATGGGAGCCTTGTCCAGACTGGAGAAGTCAACAAGTGAATGCTACCATGTGTGAACAATCGTGCAAGTATTACGGATGTGACATGCCGGGATGGACTGTGCAGAGTCACTGCGATGAGCTCACAGGAACATGTTACCATGGGGATTATGATGAACAATGCCGAGGAGTGCATGACGGAGAACAGTATCCAGGCATGGAGAACACAGAGGATGGCCGCGAAACGTTCTGCCGATTTGCTGCTGGTTTCCCTGTAAAGGCAGCAGAATGCCCCGCCCCAGGTGAAGTGAACCCCGATCGACTGGAATCAAGTGCTGTGTTCCGGTCTTTAGCCAGTGGGTTGATAGCATCTGCCTTGACGGCTATGGTGTATCTCTTGGTGTAATGAAAAAGGTGTTGCAAATGGCTTGGTTGATCGATTCAAAACACGCAAGCAGTTTGTTTTCATTTTGTCGTTGTGACAGATGTGCGTTCTGTACCACTGAGCAGTTCTAACATCTGCAGTGTCTGAACGCGTTAAAAGCATAGCAAATGTACTATACAACTCGTGGCTCCCTTTTAGAGTGCCGTCTGTGATACATCTATGGAAACAGATCAGATATCCTGAGTCTAGCAGGCTATATTAGTTGTAATCCGAAACATGTCTCTGAATTTTGGCTTTGGAAGAAAAGCCAGCAACAGTTGCAGTACATGTAGCTGGGGCTGGAGTTCAAGTAAGTTCTCTCCAATGTAATAAGCAAGGGCTATCATCAGACCTGGCTGGATTGATTGATGATTCGATTCCAACGCACTTTCCTTGTTCCTTCGTCTATGGAACGTACATTGTGCCTGATTTGTTGCTCGCATCTCTTCGCTTCCTGCCTCGTACCGGTATCAGGCAGCCGCCCTGGAATGACATGCCTCATGGCTTTATCCTGGACTCCCAGGTCCATGGAACGTACACTGTGCCTGATTTGTTGCTCGTATCTCTTCGCTTCCTGCCTCGTACCGGTATCAGGCAGCCGCCCTGGAATGACATGCCTCATGGCTTTATCCTGGACTCCTAGGTCTCAAAGCAAGAAAAGAAGTCCACTGCTTTCAAGGACTGTTTTGCTGGAGAAGCAATATCCCCCGGGGCGACGTCCAGGGCTTCATAGTTTGCTGCAGACCAGGGTGATATTCGCTTGGGGTTTGGTGCCTTGTGGAAGCCCACCAGTGTAGAGAAGGTGTCCGGTGGGTCTCTCTCTATGTTTCGGAGCAAAGAGAGACCTTTAATTCAACATTAACATCGGCGGAAGACTGCGCTCAGAGTTGCAGACAAGGAGAGCAAAGATGAAAGCATCCAAAAAGGAAACATCTAAAGGAATCCTGGGAGGATAGCTGGCAGGTTTGTCCCCACCCACCGGTGAGTGCCTAGCTATCGGTATCTAGTACAGTAGCTGGAAGTATCGTAGTATCAAGCTACATAGCCTGAAGCTTACAGCAGCTCTTAGAGAGCTTGTGTATTTCATTGTTTTTGAGAAGCCTGACCTTGATGGAATGAGAGAACAACACGTACGTGTTTAGGAGCTTTACAGGAGCGATCCTGGATCTTGGCAAGAGAGGCAGACGATTTCAAAAAGCCTCCGTAGTCTTGGAACTCCCACCACTCTCCCCCATAGTACCGTACCTTCTCTAAGTGACGAAACCTCTACTTTATTAGTTGTTTTTTCGTCAGAGTTACGTTCCCGGCGGGTTCCAATTTATGCTCTCACATTTTGAGCAAAAATTTCCCTCGAGTGACTCTTCGCAATTCTTTGAAGTTGGAGTCTTATCAGAGCCTCATCTTCTCCCAAAACCTCACAATCACAGCATCATCCGCACCTTCACCAGCTCTTCAGTTTGAATCTAATCCCCCTGACAATTTAATACCTTGGGTTGAAAAATGGTAATTCTGCTTCGGTTCCTTGGAGCTTTGTTGCTCCTGACATCGACAGCCACCAGAGCTGACGTTATCATTACAGAGATATCCGATAAGGGAACGAGCAACGCTTGTGATGGCAATGATTGGATCGAAATCTACAATTCTGGCGAGCTTGAATTGGATTTGGGATTGGAAGGATATGTGTTGCATGACAGTAAGGGAGTCGACAGTGATGACACCTTTTCCTTTCCTGGAAACGCAATGATTCAGCCTCAGGAATACAAGTTGCTGTGCACAGAGCAAAAAATTGCATTTGACGATGGAACCTCGGCGATTGACCCCATGTCGCCTCAGTTTGGAATCAGTGGGGCTGATACCATTTATTTGACACGCATTCGTCGTGCAAATCCAAATGCTACCAACGAAGAACCCGGATTCATCGTTAACAGCGCTCGCAACGGAGATACCTACGAGATTGTTTCTACTGTCGCTCTTCCCAACACTGACGATGCGTTCGATGTCACCTACGCCCTTGTCGACTTTGCCAGCGGCAAATTCAACTATACATCTACTCCCACACCGGGAGCCGCCAATGTTATCAGCAAGGTCTTGAGCCAAGAAGAGCGCAATGCCAAGTTCAAAGAACAACTCAAAGCCCAAAACGATCAAGGAACGATCTTCTTCAACATGGATGATCGAGGATTGCCAGTGCCCAATGGAATGGATCATGTTCTGGACCTGAACTTCACAATGGAGAGTGGAGATTATTCTTATCTGGTGATGAACAAAACCTTTGAACAGTATAGGCCTTTCACGTCGGCTGTTTTGACCACTACGGATGGACAAGAACTCTTGTCGCTGTCCAAACCTGGAAGAATCCGAGCCAAAGGCCAGTCATCATTGTACCTAGCGTCGTGCATGGGAGCACCTGCCTTTCCTTTCCAAGTCGAAATGGGTGGCAATGAAACGCTTTTCGGCGCAGAGCGCATCTACCTACGCCACCATATTGGAGACTACTCCTTCATGCGGGACTATGCCTACAACCGTATGCTTGCTCGCTTTGGATTGCCATATCTTCGTGCCCGCAAAGTTCGAGTTTCAATCAATGGAAATCTGCACGGCTTCTACACTCTTATGGAAGCCCCTGATCAAGACTATGTTTTCCACCGCAGCTTTCCTGATTTCAACCCCCAGGCATACGCTCTTTTTAAGATCAAGTCGTTCGCTTATGATTGCGGTTCATACACCAATGAAGAAATTGAAGTTGCAAGTGCCAGGCTGCATGAAACAGCTACTCCACCTTATGCGTTTCAGCGTGGCGAACACAAGGAAGTCCTCGAAGAGCTTGGCCTCTTTCAGTCTGAAACATGCATTGAAAACTATGACAAGGACCTCTGGAAGCGAGACTACTATGATGTTATTCTGGCCTGGCTCCGTTATGACAAGGATTGTGCCGACATGTTGCTGGGAGAGGGACTTGTGGAGCAGGATTTGGGCACCAAGGGATTCAAGAAGGAGATCAGGGAATGGATCTCCATGGACTACAGCGACGAGGTTCTCTGCACGGAAAACTGTGCAAACTCCAACTTGGCAGAAAGGGTGGATCAAGAGAACTGGCTCAAGGCCTTCGCCTTTTATGCCGTTACTGCCAACTCTGACACTCCTCTGGTGAATGGCAACAACTTTTACTTGGCCAACGGAGGAACCGGTGGTTGGAAGCTGGTGCCGTATGACTTCAATCTACCAAACGTTGTCTACTGTCACGATGACGTCTGTAACGAGCGCCTGGTTCATTGGAGCATTGCCCGGCCTACTTGTACCAGCTTAGAAGAAAACAACCTAGTCGGTCCACTTTTGACAGATGAAAAACTTCACGCGCAATACTTGGAATACGTGCGAGAGTTCGTCGAGACGGTATATGGGAACCAATCGTTTGTGGACGAGTTGCAGGAGCATGCGGCAGCTCAAGAGAGTTATGTGAAGGACGACTTTTGGTCTTTCTTCGGTGTGTTTTACAGCAATGAGCTTACACCAGAGAGTGCGAAATGGAAGGAGGAAGTGCCAAATTTCCCATTGCTCCCCACCATGAAAGCCCGGGCTGAAGATGTACGGGCTCAGTTGGAAGCTATTGACAGCGGCACATTCCCTCGTGGTCCTTTTGTGGGGGTGCACGGCGACAACGAGCCCTGGGAACCTTGTGCTGACTGGCGTCTGACAGAACCTAACAGAACAAGTTGCGCAGAGGAGTGTATGTACTATGGCTGCAGCATGCCTGACTGGACTGTAGAGAGCTACTGTGACGAAGAAACTGGAAAATGCTACCATGGCAACTACGATGAACAATGCCGCGGTGTCTTTGACGGCTTCAAATACACGGGCATGGAAGATGTTGACGGCAGAGAAACCTTTTGCAGGTTCACCAAGGGGGTCCCTGTCAAAACGAGTGAATGCCCTGCTCCCGGCGAAATCCAGCCACCGGTTCTGGAATCATCGGCTGGAACTGAGACTCGAGGCAAATGGTTTTGGAGCTCTCTTCTCGCTGCTGTGAGTGCACTTGTTTTGTTGGTTCAGTGATATTAGATGGATGAGGAGATACCAAGCTATTACACCCCAGCTAGCTCCAGCATAATCAAGTCTTGCATAGTTTATATATATATCTGGAATGATGGTCGCACAACAGAATCTGTGCAGTTGAATGCAAAATCCGGTACCGTAGCTAGCGATAAATTCTTGCAGCAGGCTTTGTGGTGGCAACCGGTACCACGTATATACAGTTCTTGAAGCAGACTTGGCGTTGGCTACAGTGATTACTGCGGTTACTAGGTAGCATGCACCCATTTATCTGCTATGCGGTACACCATTGTCTCGCTCGAGCAAACCTCAAAGGAGCGGCGCCACTTTCGTCACTTCTTCAAATATGTCCATGGCGAGGGCATTCGTATTCGCCCACCAACATGCAGCACCGACCACAGCATGAATTCGTACACTCCAGCGCCGCGCGGTTGCTGCAGTGCTGACAAAGCATAATTTGGCCGTGCTGATTCTGTGCGGGCTGAGCGACAAGTGTGGTGGAATCTGTATCGTTGTCCGACATGGTAGTGTCATTATTGTTGTTGGCCATCCCCACTGTGGTTTCGCTCGTGTTGTCACTTTCCTCCGTCGTGTCGTCGGGATCCGGATGATTATTGTTGTTTTGCTGTTGCACAATCACTTCTTCTGTTGTGTCGTCCATCTCGTCCGTCGTGGTATCATCCTCTTCATGTTGCTGTTGTTGTTGGGCCTGGTGAAGGTGGCTGACGACAACGACCTCCTCCGTGGTATCGTCCTCTTCCTCTTCAATGTCATCGGTACTATCATCCACTTGAATCGCAGCGTTTTCGTTGTTTCCATGTTGCTGCTGCTGGTGATGTGCCACGAACAACCCATGCACTTCTTCTTCGAGTGTCGAGTCTTCATCCGAAAACTCCTCGGTACTGGTTCCAAAGTCAGGCACTGCAAAAACAGTATCATATTCCTCGTCCGATTGCGAGTCACTGTCATCAGAGGAGAGAAGATGATCATCGTTGTCTCGTCGCGCAGGACGTCGCGGCATGGTTGGAAAGTTGCCCCTGCAATTGGGGCAGGACGCATTGGATGCCAGCCACTCGGCAATGCAAGACAAGTGTACCGCCTTTCCACAACACAAGGTAGCAATGTTGGGGTTGTCATCGAAACAAATCAAACAAGACCCTGCCGCGGCTCGTTCTCGAGCTCGTCGAGCCGCCCTGGCTTCTTCATGTTCCATGGCGGATAGCTGTTTGTCATGCTGTAGTTGCACTAATTCCGGTAGGCATTTTCGGACGCGATCCATCAACAACGCCACGAGGGGAAAGAAGAGTCCCGTAGCGGGCAACACGGTTCGCACCATGACATTGTCATTATTAGTTGTTGCAACGCCACGATAGACGAGCGACAGATTGCGCCGCGTCTGAATGAGCGCCAGTACATATTCCTTTCGTTGTGCGGGAGTGGCAAACCAATTGACACAAAATGGCAATCCGCATGCTTTGAGGGCTCCATTCCCCGCGAGCCGTGCCAATCTTCCATTTCCATCCGAAAACATGTGCAAATCGACCAAACAAAAAAAGATGGCCGCGGCATACGTGAGACACGCCACGGGAGATTCGACTTCCGCCAGTCGTTCCTGGAGTGTTTGCAATACGGGAAGCAAGTATCGTTCCAAATGCAGGATGACTTGATCCGCCGGCAAGAATACTGTTTTTCCTGCCTTGACCGTTTTGTTTCGAACTTGTCCTGCTCTTGGATGGAGTCCATTGCCGCATAATACGGCGTGCCATTGGAGGAGTGATCGTCGGGTGATCCAGGCTTCCGTGGTGGACGCTTCTTCCAGTACTCGTGTCAATGTGTCCTTGTGCTGTTGGACCACCTTGGCGGCATCGACGGCAGTGGCTCGTCCGGCATTGGACGTGAGACTTGCCTTTTGTCGATCCATTTGGGACGTGGCGAATTCCCTGACGGCCGCAAAGTAGAGTTCGTGCTGCTGTTTTTGTTCCGTCAATTGGGACGAGGAACTGGCGTCATTGAGGAGCATGCTGTTGTTGTTATTGTCGTCCTCCATGTTGTCATTGCTGTTGCTATTGTCATGATTGTTGTTGTTGCTATTGTTACTATTAGTTGGCGACGAGGAAGACGCATTGGAATTGGAAGAAGCATTGCTGTTTGAATGGTTGATCATCATTTTGGAATCTTGGAGTGTTTTCATGGCCTTGTGATGCTGTAGGAATTCAAAGACTGCCGCTTGGTTTTGTCCAAAATCTCGTTCTTGTTGTTGCTGTTGATGATGCTGTTGTTGTTGCGATGCCGAAAAGGAAACTCCCATCAAATCGTCATTGGACAACGAGTCCAAATGATCGAATAGAAACTTGGTAGAGTTTCCACCCTTGACAGTGCCATGGGTGTTGCTGGCAGTCAGTACTGGCTGCTTGTTGCGCACCAGTTGACTCCACGATTTTCCAGCCAGTGATGCGGGCAAACTATTGGTAGCACACCAAAAGTTGGTCAAACAGAGAAAGGGACGAAACTGGGGATGCGTCGGACCGCCAAGACCGTTGACACTACTCGTCACGTAGCCCTGAATCTCAATCATCAGCTGGAGAATGCCGTTGGTTTGCCGTGTCGTTGTTGTCAAGGCTGCCATCTGCCGTACGGGCCCGGCATTCAACAAGACGGGTGTATGGTGCGTATCATCCAAAATCTGACCTCCACAAAACTCATTGTGCTGCAACTGATTCAACTGATTTGTTGATACGTGTAACAAGACACGCACAGGTCCTTGGTAAGTCTCTGCCAAGACCATTCTCTCTACCGCTTTGGGAGTGAAAAAGGTCGAAGCATTGTTCCTGTTGTTGCTTTGATGATTGGTATTGTTATTGGTATTGTTATTGTTGGACCGGCGCCGGCGGTTCTGGCCACGATTCCGACGATTACCACCACCACGTCCACTGGCAACCGTTCTCATGCCATTGTTGTTGTTGTTATGGTTCATCCTCTTCTACATGTACTGTATGTGTCCGACTGGGGAGACAGCTAGCTATGGTTGAAGAGAGACTGTGGCTATCTGTCTTTGGAGTGAGCGGCAAAGCTGCAACAAATGCAACAGGCGAAAGTCGAACGTGCGAACAAAGTGGAGAAAAATAGAAAAAGTTTAGATGAACTTTAGCCCTCTCCTTACTGTGGAAAGGAAATCGTTGGATGTGATGGTGGGCTCCAGCTGGAACCCATTTGCGTTTGCTTCTCGACGAGTGTCAACTTTCAACCATGATGGCCTTTCATTGCACGCCACCCATCATCAACCACCAGCAGTGCGCCTCCAAGCATTAGTCTAGTTATTAGATAGCAGCACACACCATGATGAACCAGAGTAGTCTTCGGACGCTCTTGGCGGCTACTCTAGTGGCAGCAGCAGGGGCGTTCACGTCGCCACAATTACATGCAGTCAATTTCCATCAACAGACCTCCCTCTTTGCCGTGATACGGGGAGATGAAATCAATAACGCCGTATCCGAAGGTGCAGGAGGAGTCCATCTTGCCCGTGACAGTGCCATTAAGATCACAGGAGAAGTCAAGCACAAACCAGGTTCGGCCAACCCCAAACCAGCAGAGCTCTTGCGATATACCCAATTCCAACAAGTTTCCGATGATCTCGCTTCTTCCGTCAAGATTGTCTGCACGGGCCGAGGGACGGAAGTGTACCGAGATCCAGGTGACTCTACCGTCAAGGACGTTGCCTATGCTCCACATGATGCCGTCAGGGATGCCCTCAATGCAGCCGGATCCACACAAGATGCGGATCGCCTAGTAATCAACTTTTTGGGGGGCGATGATTTGCAGGTCATGGAAGTATTGGAAGCCGTAGAACAACTGGTGCTGAATCTAGATGTCAAGACCAAAACCAAAATCACCTTCAATTCACTCTGTCACGGTGCGTTTCCCATGGAGCAGGCGGCATTGACGGTGGTCAAAGTGGAAGACGATAGTGATTCAGAAGGAGCCGAGCAGTTGAAGGGAGTCGAAAAGGCGCTTGCCGATGGAGAAGTCTACTTTCAAGATGGAAAGTACTTTACTGTAGTTAAGGAAGACATTACAGATGCTGTGGAGTAACTTACCATAAGTACTCCAGCCCAGCCAGCCAGACAAACCATGGCGTGTCTCCATATGTTGTTCCAACTGAACTTGAATGTTACTTATTTGTACGTCTGCTTCTTTCTTTGAAAGACAAGTTTATCTTCTTTTTTATTTGTTAGGCTCATCAGTACCATGCCTTGTAGATAGCTTGCTGCAGTTTGTTGCCAGACAAAGGTGCGGATACACATCGAGCTTTTCAGTTGGCGCAGAAGTTGATGCAGTGGTACCGGTATGCAACCCTTCCTGCTCTTCCAACCACAATCGGAATGCTCCACCATCAAAAGTTGCCAAATCGACAGTACCGGTAAGCCTATCTATAAGAGCTGCTAGCTAGCTGTGCGTGGGATGTTGGAAAGGGCTTTCGTCGTGTGAGCACCATTGTCATCCTTCTAAATACCGGTACGGTAGGCCCGTAGCTACGTACCGGCACGGGTACAGGTAGCTGATGTTGCCGCTAATCAGGTGCAGACTTATGGTTGAAGGAGGACACTTCTGTACGTACATGAACTTGAGGTGTCCAAATCAAGATTCGATAAGGGAACGAAGCACTCTTGTTTGACCTTTACGCCATTGGAGGCATGCCTTTGATCATGAAGCACTTGCTGGATCATGGATGGCATCAAAAATACAATCCGCGAGGGAAAAACGTGCTGAGAGGAGCCGACGAAGACTACAAGACCAAACTGTTTGACTTTACTCGAGGAGTGGCACACATGGCGACGGAGCGAGAATGCAAGGAAAGGCGTGGAGAGGCATGGAAAGTCAAGAGACCAGGTTCACGACCTACTAGCTGGGCACTTGGAGCCATGGTTGATGTTTCAACATGCGGGGAACGGGACAAACGGAGGCTTGGAGCTCCCAGTGTGGGCACTGTTGGCTTCGCCATCAGAATGGTGATTGGGGGTAGCAATGCTCGGAGGTCTCGTCTGTTGGGCGGCAATCGACAGATCTGTAGCCAAGATGGAAGAATGCTCCAAAAAGTGCAAGGGAATGCGAAGAGCTGCTGTGGACATCATTTCTGAATCCTTTGAGCAGACTTAACAAAGGGATCAGTCATTACAGGGCGATGATGCCACGGCACATGGGATGCAGGGAAAGGCTTGCTCTGACCAGAAAGGGAGGTCAATACCATCCAAAGCAGCAACGGCACTAGCTAGCTAGAGTCCAGATAGAAGACGAACAAAGTAGAGTTCAGGTATGATGTGTGATCCGTTCTGTCGATCTGAGGCGGTTTTCTCTAAATTGTGGATTTCGTTTTCTACTTATATTTACCGAGTTGACAAATCATCCCGGTTCAAACTTTCAAATCAGTTCATGTTCACTGTGAACGGCACTCCTATACGGTACTTCCAACAACCTTCTTCACGTTCATTACGTTCATGCCATTGCTTGCTCCTCTTGTTGCAAGATGCTGACAATATGCCTCTTCTTTTTGTGATAGGGATGTCGCGAGAACTGGACCACTCCTGGCTGTGTCGCAAAAATGGTGTGATCTTTTCCCATTCCTACGTTATCACCTGGACGAAACTTGGCGCCGCGCTGTCGAATCACAATCGAACCGGCCTTGGCTTTCATGCCTGGATACAGCTTGATTCCAAGTCGTCGGCCAGCTGAATCACGTCCATTGCCGGAGGATCCTCCTTGCTTCTTGGTGGCCATACCGCGAACAGTGGCAGTACTGGGGAACGATGGCACCGGCCGCCGCAAAGCCACTTGCTGACTGGTCCTCCATAGAAGAGAGATTGAAGTTGACATCTTCCAATACAGTATTATGGTTGGCACCTAAAGACGATCCAGTATCTCCACTGAACAGTACCGAAAGTACCCAATGAGTTCCAGAACGTTGACGCTTGAAAACTGATTTCCGCACAATCGCTTCAATGATACTAAGGAGTCAGCAGCAGCTTCAGCAACGGAATGTGTAGGTACATATGTAGTTCGCGACGATGGCCACGGTGCGGTTTGCTGCATGCTAGCTAGGTGCGCTAACATTTTCTGCAGTAAGGATTAAGGATAGTGTTACGTCTCCTCGAGACGACGCTCCTTTTAGATTCCCCCTCAGTTGCACTCCGAAACCGATTCGCTCGCGTTTACTGTGTAAAATAGTGTACCCGCACTTCAGTTGCAGAATCAACGGTCATGTGTATCCGTAAGTACCAAACCTGTATTTAACGGTTTTTAACATCTGTACAGGTGTGTGCGTGCACATACGGTAACGCGACCGTAACCGCGACCGGTACCGGTACCGGTACCGTCACCGAAACCGTTAACGTACCAGTAACTGTCATGGAAACGGAACGAGGAATACGTCAACTTCTGTACATTGAAGTTCAAAACCTGATGAACAAATGTTGGAACACGTCAGAGTACAAATTTGTATAAGTTATTTGGAATTGGTTAATTGAATGCTGCTTCCGACTGTAACATTTCATCGTAATTGTCGGCGGAAAGAGTATCGAAGGGAATGTAGCACTGAAAGTTTCCAGCATATCACCATTTCGTCTGGCATCTGGTACTTTGTTAAATCGAGCGACAGTGGTTTTCGCAAGAAGAGGCCTTTCATTTCTCTTACTCTTGAAAGTACACGTAAACCCAATTATCTGCATAGGCCAGTTCCACACCAAAGTTGCGATGCTGTGTATCCTGCAACTTGTGTCCTGTGTCGCTGAATTGCTAACAAGAGGAAAATGGATTCCTTTCATGCGAACCTCAATCTTTTCCTTTTCGATTTCATCTTGCACTTGAAGGACACTCCGTGTGTCTGACATCGAAACATCTTGGCAACATTCTTTCATCTCGTGTTTTACTGTGATCTGTCAATTTGGGTCACACGAAGACACGGATTCTGACCCCGCAATGGAGTTTGATGATGAAAGGCTGTTCTCGGGCTTTACATGTACCTTGCGTAGGAACACTCTCGAACCGTTTGCCTGTCCATTCGGTACGTCTTCATTCTTTGTCAGCATCAGAGGCAGTTGTAGTACATCTTCAATGCCGATCAACACGTCCGTTGTCCATGTCACAATCCGATTCGCCACATTTGTCCAGAAGTGTTTCTTGATGCGGTTGCTTGTTACTTCCT